TCAGTAGGCAGGTCAGCTTTGTAGCTAGCACCAGTGCCAGCTCCATGCCATTGCACCTTTTTTAATCTTGACTGCCCTTCCCGAGTTTATTGGTGTACTAAAATGACTGAATATGAACATTAAGGACTCCATGAACGTGGGCTAATGGGAGACCGGAGAGAAAATGAAAAAAGATCCACCAGAGGACATCTTTGGGAGGGAGGGATTTTAGGGGGGAGAAATGATTAATGAAGCTAATTAAAAGAAGCATTCAAATCTGCTTTCTAACCTCATTAACAATTAGCAGGGCACTGGCCAGAGTTTGTACCTGTGCTTTAAGTTAACAACATTCTATTTGTTCTTTGTATATTTAAGTGTTGTATGGAAATGTGTTTCATTCTAAACTGAACATGAGATAAAGGAAAGAGAAGTGGCTTCTGTGATATTCTGTCACAGACACTTTTATTGTATCTCTGTAAAATATAATGTATGTGTGCATGTATGTTTTTTGTCCTAATATTGCTACTCCCAAAGATTAAGCAAAGATTAAGAAAGAAAAAAGAAAAAAAAATCAGGTTCTTAGCAACTACTATGTAGAAATTTCTCCCTACTTCTAATTTGCTGAATGAAGAAAAAAGTCTTTTATTTGTGATATTTTCAGAGACATTTGCTCTAGTATGGTGTATTTAAATAATAAAAACTTAAAAGAGGGCCGGGAATTTAGCTCAGTGGTTTCGCCACCTGCTACACAGGTGCAGGGACCCAAGTTCGATCCCTGGTACCAAAAAAAAAATAGCAAGTGACCATGAAAAATCAATCCAACATATGCTAGATAATGCAAAGAATAACTAAGATTGATTGGAATCAATGAAACATCAGAAGACAACACAAAGTACATAAAAACCCATTCACAGAAATAATAGCAGAAAACTTTCCAAGCATGGAAAAAGAATTTGACCTGCAGATAAATGAGGCATATAGAAATCCAATTAGCTATGATCAGAAAAAAATTATTGCCACAGGCTGAGCCTGAAGATGGACCTTCGTCTCTTCCCTGCTCCCTTTCTCCTCCCCACTCCCTTTCTCATCCATAGAGAGTCAAACTCATGTAGTAGACCCTGGATGGCACAGCCCCAGGAGACAGTTACCCTTCCCTGTTTCCTTCCTGCCATGCCCCATGCTGAAACAATCACACTATGTTGTGCGTCCTAGGCCACATAACACTATTTGCCCTGCCTTCTCTGTCTGTTTGCCTACCACTATAAATAGAGAGTGCATGGTGCTCCAGGCAGCCATTAGCTCCTGACAAGCTATGGTTCCACCCGGTCCCAGCTATCAAGAATAATCTTGGTCAGGCCAGGGATTTAGCTCAGTGGTTTCGCTGCCTGCTGCGCAAGCTCAAGGACCCAAGTTCGATCCCTGGTACCAAAAAAAAGAATAATCTTGGTCTCTTCATCATCTTTTCTTCATTTCCCCGTTGCTCTCCCTGGCTTCAGACCCTACAATTTGTGGTCGAGGGAAAGAATGGCTGTCATAAAGAAATCAACCAATAATAATAAATGCTGGTGGGGATGTGGGGAAAAAGGAACCCTTCTTCACTGTTGGAGGGAGTGTAGACTGGTGCAACCAATATGGAAATCAGTATGCAAATTCCTCAAAAAACTAAACCTAGAGGTTCCATCTGACCCAGCTAGTACCCTTCTAGGTATCTTCCCAAAAGAATTAAAAGTATCATACCCGTGAGGAAAGAGGGTGGGGGCTCCTGCCCAAAGCTTCAGAGTGGACCGGCCCCAGGGCCCTGGCCAGCCAGGGTCCCCCAGCTGCAGGAAGGGCAGTGACCTGCGATCCCTAACTTAGCTGACGGCAGGAGAAAGGGACTTAAAAAGGTACCCAGGCCCAGGGAGCTGAGACGAGAGAACGCGCTGCCGAAGCCGGGCTGAGGCCTGGGACCTGTGCTCCTGCGCTTCAGACCTGGGAGGGTCCTTGAGTGTCGTTCAAAGGAGCAGCCTGGGGGGCGATCCTGGGACCGGAGAGCATCAGAAGGACAAAGATGTCCGAAAAGAAAGAGCGAAACTAGGAGAAGCAGCGGGAGGCAGGCAGGAGAGCGGGGTGCCGCGTGGAGACTGGGGTGCAGGATCGGGCCCGGGAAGGGGGCCTGAAAAAGCGGAGCGGAGGCAGTGACCACGGAGCTGTCCCCTCCCGCACCCTACCCAGCCAGTCACTCGGTCCCTCACACTCCCGCGCCAACGGGCTGCAGAGAACCCACTCACCGGCGGCGACACACAGGGATGAGCAGAGTGCAGGAGCAGAACGCAGTGCAGCAGGATCCTTCTGACTGGGCGGGCGCGCAGCGCCCAGGAGGACTAACCCTCCACAGCAAATTTGTGAAGTTGCCACCCGTGCCGCCGTGGCCGATAGTCAGCAGAACAAGCAGCTCTGCCCACAAATCAGATCTTTCCAAGAGAGCCACGTGGTCCCAGCAAAGGGGTAGCAAGGGGACCCGTGTCCAGAAGAGGCCTCCCCAAGGAGGCTCCAGGCCCCTGTGTGCGCCATGCCTCTCAGCAGAGCCATGAGTCGTTCTCCCAGCACAGCCTCCAGACCACAGCCTTGCTGCCCTGTCGCCACTCGTCAGATGGCTAGACCTGTGCAGCAGATCTCTGCCAGCAAGGCCTTAGCAGCTCATCACCTCTCAAAGCGCCCCCACAGCTGAGTGGCTCAGACTTCAAAGTCTCTGAGGCTTTTCAGCCATTGTAATCTCCTCCCACCGTCCCAGTTCGTGCTGTCTCCCGGGTGCCACCAGGTCTCTTTTCTTGTGACCACATCCTGCACATGTCTGAGCCACCCAGGGCAGCACACGAGTCCCTGGAGGCCACATATCACTCCATCACAAACCACACTCCCTTTACATTGAACCTTAGGACACCTGCAGCTCGGCCCATCTGCCCAAGTCCCACAGGTCTAGAGGGCACTGCACACCTCTTCCCCCCACCACTGGCCATCCTCAGATCTCCTCACAGCATCACCATCCTTGGTCTCTTCTAATTAACCCTCTCTCCTGCCTCTCAGGGCTCACTCAGCACCTGCAACCCCCTTTTCAGTGCCACAGTCACTGCGAGGCTTTCATTTACCTTCAGCCCAGAATAGTACAGAGAACTCTTCCTGCACGCTGTGCCATCCCCATGGCACATGGGCCTCACACTGCCCACAGCTGCCCCTTCTGCTGCCCACAAGAAGCCTCTCCTCTCCCTCCAGAGCCCACAGCTGTCACCCACCCCGCCTGACACACTGCCCCCTAACTCCTATTGCCATCTCTCCTGGGCTGCAGTGAAAGCAAACTCCCCTGGCCACCTTAACCCATCTCAACACAATGCCACGGTTAAGCAGTCTCCCTACTGGACATGGTCCATCCATCTGCCTGCCTCTCATCAGACTTCTCTGCATCCATTATGCTAAAAAAAAAACAACTTATCTGTGAGAAAGTGATAGAGCAATACTATACAATAAGAAAGGCCCTCGCCTCCATATTTTTGGGGGGGTTTTTTTGGTACCAGGGATCGAACTTTGCACTTGTGAGGCAGGTGGCACTGAGCTAAATCCCTGGCCCTCCTCGGTTTTTTTTCACAGACTGTTTTGTTCCAGAAATGTAACAGTTTGTGTTGCTGGGCAGCTGCTCCTGCCCAGTGTACCAAAATGTTTTGTTTTTGCACTGTGACCTCTCAAGAATGTTGTTAGCTCTGCCCCCTTGTAAGAATGTTCTGTAACTCCATTCCTCTGCTGCAATGAGCATGCTCACACAGCATGTGTTTCAGGAATATTCTGTAGCTCTGCTTCAGTGGGCATGCTCTCCTACCCTGTAGATCCCAATATAAGAAGGCTCTCATTTCTGGTGAAGCACTCAGAGTTCGGAGTAGGAACTCTCTGAGCCCACCAGTATAATAAAGGTTTTTCTCCCTCTTCGAGTGACCTTCAGATTCTCAAGTCTTCAAATTGAGGTAGCTGCAACATTGAGCTGTAACACTTGGTTATAGCACCGAGCTCTTCTGCTTTGCCACAACAAAAGGAGACCACCCTTCCGTATGGAATTGGTTAACTCAAAACTGGGTTAACTGTGTTTTTAGGCAACTATGGGTTAACTAGGTAATATGCTCTTTGTAGAATGTATCTGACATGTAGAATGTGCCATGACAACTTCTGTAATCTGTCACCAAAGGAGCATAATAGACTCAGAAAGTCCTGCCAGAACTCTTCTCCCCCTTCCACTGCTCTGTTTTGTGTAAACCCTGCTTGCTATATTCCCAGGGAAACTTCAATGGAATTAACCTTCATAGATGTAAAAAGAGGTATATAAAGAAGCAAAAACTTCTATTTGGGACTCTTGAGACTAACAGGCTGCACTCGCTGAGCCACTGGCATTAAAGCCAATTTTTGCTCCTATCTTCATGTTAAGAGTTGTCTGTCCGATGTTCTCACAGTTTCCTGCTTCACCTGAAAGCTTCCTGTGCTGAAACCTTTGCCTCCTCCCCAACACACATCTTGTACTCTTTGGCACATGGATTCGCCATCCTCAAACCTGGCTGCTGAGAGAACCAGCTGGAGACTCCACCACTCCAGCTACCTTGCAACCAGCTCACAGCCCAAACCAACTAGACAGGGAAGCCTAGGGCTTTGGAGCTTCCTCCAGGGCGCCACATGTGGGCCACTGAATTCGGAACCACTGAAGCAGCCCCTGGTGTGCCCCTCCCTAACCTGTCACTTTCTGCAATCCCTGTGGCCCAGACACCACCAGGGTCAGGAACTGTATTCATTCATCTGTCTCAAGTACCTTTTTTTCTTTTTTTCTTTTTTTTTTTGTGCCGGAGATCGAACTCAGCACCAAAGCAGGTGGCGGAACCACTGAGCTAAATCCCCAGCTCAAGCGCCTTTTTCAAGGCGAACTCCTTACTAGTGATTCCTGGGTCCCCCAGCTCACACTTCCTGTGAGTCAAAATATCATGCATCACAAAGTTTTGACAATTTCTTACCATTCCATGCATTTTAGTTGTTATTTTGACCGTGATGATTTACCACTGGAGAACGGGGACTCCAGCTGGTTCTGTGATCTCAGAGCCTGTTTTCTGGAGTCAAGGTCACGGGCGGAGGTGGAACCCTGGTCCCTGGCTCTCTAGGTGGCTGTCTCCAGGACGCCTGAGCCTGGGAGAGCTGCTCCAGCAAATTGTCCATAGCCTGTTCCCCAAAACACTCTGTTACTGTAAGAATTCCGTGCTGGGCTTGTCACAGTGCAGTTAGAGGTGACTGCAAGGAGATGCCTCGAGGAGGCTGCAGTTCTGGGGCTCTGCTGTGGGGTCCCTCGACCTAGGCCTGTGCCCCTTCCCCACCATCCTTCCCAGGCCTCGCGCACACAGCCTCTCTCCTCCACCCCATCCCATGCAGCCTTTCTTCTCAGACCCATAAACTGCTCTTCCTCCCTCCGCTCTCTGCCTTGGAACCTCGACTCACAATGACAGGGGCGCCTTTCTCCCGCAGATGTTGGTGCCACTGCTGAGCTGGAGAATCTGAAAGTGCTCCGCGACAATCACACAAACTTGGGGGGGCGGGGCTGCAGCCCGGAAATGCCTGGAAGCGCTGAGGTCCCTTTCACTCCCATCCTGGCCCAAAGACAGCAAAAACTGTTGGTGGACAGAAAAGCAGAACTGCAGGGCTTCAAAGGGCGAGCTGCACCGGGCTTCCGGTCTCCACCGCAAGCAGGGCCACTTGTGGGTGTGGACACGCAGACCTGGCGGGGCCGTGGGGTCCGGGGACTGGAGCGGGACCTGGGATCCTACAGACCTCATTCTCCGTGGGCCGCCTGGGTCCCACGGGATTCTGCTGCTGGAGGACCACCGCGCCTCACCCCTGGAGACCACGAGGAGCCTGGGTCCCCGTCACTCACTTGTCCCGGGGACCCATTCACCGCCTCGACCACCCACAAGGGTGAAGTGGAAAGAGGTGTGGGGGTGTTGGAGAAAGGATAGAACAGAGAGGGAGAAAATGGGGGCTAAAGGATACAGGATAAAATCGGGGGAAATAAAGAATAAAGACGCAAAGACTGAGCAGGAAAGAACGCAAAACGGGGGGCTGCAGCCATGCCCTCTCCTGTCCACCCTAAGCCTGGGCTCTGCTGTCTACCCCCTTAAGATTCCAAGGCAGGACTCAGACCCTTAGAGACCCAAACATCCCCACTGCACATAGAACTATAGCTTACTTCCATTTATCATATTGAAAACTAAACCCAAGCTGGCCAGGCCATGAATGACTGTAATCCCAACATTCTGGGAGGCTACGGCAAGAGGATTGCAAATTTGAGGCCAGGTTGAGAAATATAGTGAAACACTATCTCAGAAATAAACTTTTTTTTTTGGTTTGAGACAGGGTCTCGCTATGTAGTTCAAGCTGCCCTTGAGCTCACTGTATGGCCCAGGTTGGCCTCAAACAGATTACAAGCATGGGCCACCGTGCTTGGCTTTTTTTTTTTTTAATGGATCTGAGGGTTTGAACCAAGGGCCTTCACACTGAACTACATCCCTATATCCCTACATCCTTATACCTTTTTATATTTTATTTTGAGACAGGATCTCACTGTCTAAATTGTCCATGCTGGGCTCCAACCCAGAATCCTTGTGTCTCAGCTTCCCAACTGCTGGGATTACAGGCATATATCACCACAGCCAGCCTAAATAATAATGTTTAAAAGGGCTGAGGATGTAGCTCAGTGGTCCATTGCTTGCCTAGCATCTACAGGATCCCCTGGGTTCAATCACCGATACTGACAAAAACAAACAAGTATTTATAGAAATACTTTATGTGTCCAGTTTTGTTAAACTATTTCTGTTAAGAAATTAGTATTTGCCAGGCTTGGTGGTACATGCCTGTAATCCAGCACTCTGGGAGGCTGAGGCAGGAAGATTGTGAAATTGAGCCCAGCTTGAGCAATTTAGTGAATTTGGGAGACTGTCTCAAAATAAAAAATAACAAAGGCCTAGGGATGTAGTTCAATGCAAAGGTCCTAGGTTCAATCTCCAGTACTGGAAGAAGAGAGAGGGAGGGAGAGAAGGAGGGAGGAAGGGTGGGAGGAAGGGAGAGAGGGAAGGAAGGAAAGGAAAGAAGGACTTAAGGGAGGAAGGGAGGGAGGGAGGGAGGGAGGGAGAGAAAGAGGGGTGGGGAGACACTAAGCAGTGGAAGACGCAGACACTGTGTCCCACATCTGACTACAGCATTTAAAAGACACAGCTAAGCTGGGCATGGAGGTATGCACCTGCAATGCCAGCACTCAGGAAGCTGAGGCAGGAGAATTGCTTCGAGTTCGAGGCCAGCTTGGACTACATAGTGAGACCCTGTCATAACAAACCAAAAAAAGAAAGAAAACTATAATTCTTTGACTTTGTTTGGTTGTTTTGCTACTGCTGCTGCTGTTGTTGCTGATGGTGATGTTGCTGTTGTTTGAGATAGTGTCTGTATCTGTAGTCCAGGCTGGCCTTGAATTCACTATGTACCCCAGGCTGGTCTCAAGCTTGTGATCTGCCCGCCTCATCCTCCAACTACTGAGATTATAGGTATATCCTACTACTCTTAGCTTAGACATTTTTAAAGATCTTAATTGACATGATGCCAATTTTGTCTGAAAGACATATTGTTGTGGGTGTATAATACCCACGTTTATTCTTTAGAATATTTTTATTGATGAATTAATTTTAATATATGAGTTTTATTATATTAAACAATGAGTACTTAACAGGAAAAAATAAAAAGTAAAGTACTGAATTTTTAATATTTATTGAGTGCTTATAAAAAAGTATCAAGGGTCGGGGATTTAGCTCAGTGGTTCCGCCACCTGCCTCACAAGCGCAAGGTCCTGAGTTCAATCCCCGGTACCAAAAAAAAAACAAACTCTCTAGATGATGAAAGTACAAAATTTGGGCTGGGGATTTAGCTCAGTGGTTTCACCACCTGCTGCGCAAGTGCAAGGACCCGAGTTTGATCCCTGGTACCAAAAAAAAAAAAAAAGTATCAAAATTTTCAACATTGACATTTTTGGTGTACAAAATCTAAAAAAATGATAACAGAAATAAATTCCTAAATTAACTACCATGAAAATACCGATAGAACTCTACAACAAAAATAATCTTTAATTATCACACCTAAGGCAGTCTTCACACATGACAACAGCACACTCCATGCACATGTATTGCTTACACTGACAGCACACATGCTTAGCTTTCCTTTTCTGTGCGGCAGGCCATTCTTGTCATCTCTCTCGTTTTCCTGGTTTTTTTTTTTTTTTTGTACTGGGGATCGAACTCGGGTTCTTGCGCTTATGCAGCAGGCAACAAAACCACTGAGCTAAATCCCCAGCCCTCACCTTCCTGTTTTGTCAGGAGTTTCCTACTATACAGTACAACGCACACTTAGCAGGAAAACAGTTTATGTAATAATCTTGAGATCAAGAGCAATATAATATTAGCATACCAATCATGATCTCATACTCAATGGCATAAAGAAACTTTTATCTAAATTTGTTATTTTTTAATAGAGTATCATCTAAGAAGAATGCATCCGTCCACAGATGCATTTCATATGACATTGTTTGGACTGTACAGTGTTTGAGCATCTTTAAGTGTTGTAACACATGTATGACATACACATAATCATTTAAGCATAAACCTTGAAAAAGTATTTATATCTTTTGGCTAGCTGCCTGTTAGATTGGCAATGTATATTTTATCATAAACAGAAAACAAGAAAAGGAGAAGCCAGAGATTTGAGTTTAAAATTTTATTATCATAAATACTTTTAGGCTAGAAGTCATTAGTATGATATTTTTTAAAATTTTGCATTGTTGAAGACCCATACACTTAGGAATTATAAATATATTTAATATATCATGAAGTCAGCAATGAGTGTCACAAACCAGGTTGGAATTGCTCAAGGAGGCAGTTTTGACTTGTTTTTTGTCACTGACCAGTTTAGATAGATGTCTCTGCTAGTCATGCAGAAACGCTCATGAGATACATATATATATATATATATATATATATATATATTTTTTTTTTTTTTAGACAGGGTTTCACCGTGTAGTTCAGGTTGGCCTTGAACTCACTATGTAGCCCAGGCTGGCCTCTAAACTCGTGGCAATCCTCCTGCCTCATCTTCTAAGTGCTGGAATTAAAGCATGCACTACGAGGCCCAGCCTTTTTTTTTTTGTACTGAGGATCGAACTCAGGACCTTGTGCTTTTGAGCCAGGAGCAGTGCCACTGAGCTAAATACCTGGCCCCCAGGCCCAGCTAATATTAATCTCAGAAAGGAGAATTATACCCTTTGCCTGAAAGCACCAGTTAAACCAGAGAGGAGAGCTGAGAAATGAGAAGTGACTGATGAGAGTCAGGATTATAGCCCCCTAATCTTCTTTGAGCAACAAGGATTTATTAAAAGAAATAGTTTGGGCTTAATCAAACTAACAAGAGCAAAGCATAAAATAAACATACGTATTTCTTTCTATAAACTGTATCTTCCACAAACTTTTTGACATGCTTAAGTCTTCCAGGTCTGTCATTATTTCCCTCTTTCTTAACTTTATCATACAAAATCCTCACATCAAAAATGTATCTCTATACTTAAAGCTTCTTCTATATTTTCTCTGTCCTACAGTGGTCCCTTGGTTCACAAACTTAATTTGTCCCATGATTCTGGAAAAGACAGCCATATTCATGTTCATGTAGGAAAGATGACTGCAGTCATGTTTATCACCTGACACAGTGTTCACAAACAAAAGAAAAATTTTGCCAAACCAAACTGCTTGCAAACAAAAGCATTCATGAACTGAGGTAACACTGTACTTGCCACAGGCTAAAACAAACTTCGCTGCAGCCACTTGGATTTTAAAGTGTCCTTCTTTTTCTTTTTTCCTTTGGTCTCAGATTGTTACATTTTTAAATCTGACTGGCTGCCAACAAATCTGTAAACAGCCTTGAAAAAGTACCCTTATTGGGGGATCATGTCAATTTTAGATTAAAGGAGCATCATGGGGGTGTATAACACCCACATTTATCTTTTTAGAAGTATTTATACTGATGAATTAATTTTAATTTTGAGTTTTATATTGTGTAAAAATTTTTAAATACTGAATTTTTAATAGTGTTTATAAATAAGCATCATTTTCAACATCAACTTCTTAAAGTCTAAAAAATAACAAATATCTATATGAACTACTGTTGCGGCAGAGAAGCTCAGTGCCATAGCCAAGTGTTATAGCTCAGTGTCGCAGCCAAGTACCACAGCTCAGAGGCACAGCTGAGTGTTACAGCTCAATGGGGTATTTTTGTTTTTGTTTTTGGGGTTTTTTTGGTACTGGAGATTGAACTGTGGTCCTTGTGCAGCAGGCAGCAAAACCACTGCGCTAAATCCCCGGCCCTACAGCTCAGGGTTGCAGCCAAGTGCCACAGCTCCGAAGGCACAGCTGAGCTTTACAGCTCAGTGTGGCAGATCTGGACCCCAGCTCTCTCAATTTGAAGACTCTAGAATCTGATGGTCACTCGAAGAGGTGGAGAAAACGTTTATTACACTGGCAGGCTCAGAGGAGTTCATACTTGAAGTGTGAGCGCTCTACCAGAAATGAGAGCCTCCTTAAATAGGGATCTACAGGATAGGTGAGCATGCA